ACACCAAATAAAACCCCCAGCAACAGAAATAGGTTGTATCTTTTAAGTTATTAGTGGGGTCCCAAACCCCACTGCAAACATTACAGGCTATTGGCAATGCTACTAGTTACCTTCCACAACCTAATGGTAAGATCATATTTTAGAAGTTACCACATACTTATGTTATTGAATAGAAAGAAATAAAATTAGTGCTCAACTAGAAGTGTCACCCAAACTGAGTAGTAGTATTATTGTGCTTATAAAACAAAAAATAGTGGAGAAAAAAATTAATCACCAATCTCACCCACTTACAAACCCTGTGAGCTACAATACCAACCTTTCTGCAAGATATGCCCATTGATGAAATAATGACACAAATGTGGGAGTAACTAACCACTGTTGGATTAGATTTAAAATCTTCTCCAAGGCATGGGACCCATATATGATACTTGTAATGATGCCAAGAATCTGAAACAAGATAGGTCATGGACCATAGGGGAAATCCTTCCACTATTAGTCTGCTGATTGAGTAAAGCAAAAGTCTTCTAACAACATATGCTATATCCATAGATTAGTGTACCACTCAGCCCTCATCACAGAAGCTTCTTTTTGCAGTAGATGGTAATTGGCACAGAGATTCACAATTGATCCATGTTCAGAGAATAAGAGCTTTTGGAGCACTGAATACTAAATGGGAGGACTTTATCACATTCTTTCCCTCAAAGCTCAGAGACTGTGGTGGTTTTCATAAAAAAAAAAATTGGCCCCCCCATAGGCTCTTATATTTGAGTGGTTAGTCACCAGGGAGTGGCATTTCCTGAATGGATTAAATGGACTAGAAGGTGTGGCCTTGTTGGAATAAATGCCACTGCAGGTGATCTTTAAAGTTTCAAAAGCTCATGCCAAGCCCAGAATCTCTTTCAGCCTACAGGTCAGGATGTAGCTATTTTATTTTTAGATTTATTTTATTTATCTATTACATACACAATGTTCTGCCTGCACACCAGAAGAGGGGGCACCGATCTCATTATGGATGGTTATGAGCCACCGTGTGATTTCTGGGAATTTAACTCAGGACCTCTCGAAGAGCAGCCAGTGCTTAATCTCTGAGCCATCTCTCCAGCTCCAGGATGTAATTCTTACCTACTTCTCTAGCACCACATTTGTCTGCTGCCATGTTCTCTGCTCTCATGTTCCCCGCCATGATGATAACAGATTAAACCTCTGAAACTGTAAGCAAGGCTTCGATTAAATGCTTTCTTTTATGAGAATTATCTTGGTCATGCTGTCTCTTCACAGCAATAGAATACCAGCTAAGACAGTGACCTATGCAGACCTACACAGAAAGATTGTAAGAGCTGTAAATGGTGGACCACTCTAAAGAAACAGCATTTTCCACTCAAACATGGCTAAGGGACATATGGACTCACAGAGGTTGTGACACTGTGTATATGACCTGTACCAGTCCAATCCAGACATCATCCCAGCACAGAGAAAGAGAAGAGAGCCCAAAGTCTCTCCCCTAATCAAGAAAAATGATAAAACCAGTTTTCTCCAATTGACTCTCACTGGGTATTCCAACCATACTCCAGGGCAGGCTTCATACTCAGATGTAGCTGGAAAACACAAAATGGATTCCATGGTTTTCGTTTGTTTGGATTTTGTTGTTTTGGTTTGTTTTAGTTTTTCTTTCTTTTTTTTCTTTTTAGAGAAAGAAAACACATGAAGGTGTGTAGTAATAGAGAGAGAATGTGGGAGTAGTTAGCAGAGAGAAAAGAATAACATTGTGTGAAAATTTTAAATAAAAAATTAAAGAAATATACAATGAAATGAATAAAATGCACAAAAGTCTATTAATCTATCTAGAAAAGAAAGATTTAATGTTTCGACAGGATTTTTTTTATCGATGTGAAATGTCATCCTCTTTAGGAAAGCCTGTTTCTCCATCTAGAAATGTAAATGTTTATTTTATACTTGTATCACAATTTTATCTTGACAGAACATAAATTTTTTATTTGCCTTTTGTTTCTAAGTCTACAGTCTCACAACTGAGAGTTTTTCCTGAGTATCAGATAATACTTCAGATTTGGACTTCTGAGCTGCTTCTAAAATGACCTTGAACTTTGGAACCATTGTCATAGGTTGTGTCTTATATTATTAGACCAGGGACAGAATTCTATGACTTGGATGATTTGTCTCTCAAAGGTTTCATGAGGTTCAAATTTGTCATCCCATATCATGTGCTGGGATTGGGCAATCTACAGTAGCGCTTAGTGGGAAGACTGTTAGGTAACAGTTCTACCATGACAGATGGATTATGCTACTTTCACAGATTGAATGAGTTCTTTAGGGACTGGTGTTTATAAGACAAGTACACAGTATATGCTTGACTCCTTCACCAAGCAATCATTTTATTTTCCATTTCCTCACCATATTTTAATGCAACAGCAGTCAAAGTGTTTCAGGCAACATCTGGTTTGACCTCTATGACTGAGCTAAATAAACTTATTTATTTTATAAAGTATTCTTTCTACCCTTTTGATAGATACACAAAATTAACTGAAACATACTCCAAAATGTACAAAATACCCAATGATTCCAAAGTGAATCATTGCTTTTCCTGTTAACTCATTATCAACTCTCTATAATTTCTAGCTCCACTAATGGATGTTCAGACCTCCAGACCATTAAGTTTTACATCTCTAAGTTGTTCCTAGTGCCACTCACTGTAGCTGGTCTTTGCTACTTTGTAGGCTCTTCCTTTTTCCTCCCTTTATCCACCCTGTTTCACAATATAATACTAGATAGAAGAGAGGGAAAAAAAGGATAGAGAGGAAAGAAAAGACATCCGTGAATAAAGTCATAGGATAAAAAGGGGTCAATGTTATCTTCCTGCTTCCTGATGAATAGGGGCATTGAGTTCCTTGGGGGCAAATTTGTTCTTCACCACCAAGATGTTTAATTTCTTTTTCTTGTTGTTTCTTCTTTGCAAATGACTACTTAACAAATCATGACCAACACCTAACAAACAGAACTCCCTGGTCTCTCAGAGCCCTAGCATTTATATGCCCTCTGAAAAGCCAAATGTCACACCATCACAGAAACTATCTGCATTTGGCAAAATCACACCCCCAGCAGAGCATGAGGAAATCATAGTCAGCTGCTGCAAAGCAGCTCCATATCCCTACACATGGAATTAAAACAAAAGCACATTCTTATAATCTCTCTGTTTTTTTAAAGAAACCGGAATTCCAAAATTCTCACCACAACCTACAACTCTCATTTGCCATTAATCCTATTATCCCTGTCTCAGGAAAACTCTCTTTTCAATTTATTTCCTTCCTATGAAACTGTGATTTATTTTGTAATGTCTTTGTTAAATTGCCTCCCAGACGGGGAGGCCATGGAGGCCTAGGGAATGGGCTAGGAATGTGGGTCTAGGCTCTCTTCCTTTAGCAAGAAGTTCCTGTGGGAGGAACTGGAGCTGGTGCGGGAGGAGGTGACTTTCATCTATCAGAAGCTTCAAGCCCAGGAGGATGAGATCTCAGAGAACCTCTTGCATATCCAGAAGATGCAGAAAACACAGGTGAAATGCCGCAAGGTGCTGACCAAGATGAAGCAGCAGGTGTATGAGCTGTCTCCATGGCCAGAGAGTGCGGAGGTGCTGGCAGAAGGCAGTGGCTGCTGGAGGTATGAGCTACAGAAGGAGCTGAGGACATGTGGTCTGCTGTCCACAGTTTGCAGAACTCTATCAACAGTCTTGCCTTGTCCGTGGGTCCAGCCCCAGAGCCTCCAGTGTCAGGGCTTGAGCAACTGGGACTGCTTGCCCTGAAGACCACTCCAGAGAGAAAATAAACCAGCAGAGACCTTCCTCCACTCTGTACTTTTGCATCTGCTGGTTCAAGAGTCTGTGGTCCTTTCCACACCACCCCCAGATAACTCCTGGGTGTCTCAGAGAGCTCAGAGACTCAGCACTTTTGAGGATATGTGGGTCTAGATAGGACAGTGAGACAAGACTTAGGGTGTGTAAGTTGGGCATATGATCCCAGAACTTGGGAGGCAGGTGGAAATAGGCATGCCAGTTCAAAGTTAACAAAGCAAGTATGAGACCAGCCTGAACTTCGGGAGACGTTTTTCTCAGAAACACAGTGGACCAACTAAATGGCTCAGTGGGTAACGGCATTTGCCACCAAGTCTAAAGACCTGAGTCTGATGTCAGGAACCCTCATGGTGGTAAAGAATCAATTCATGTAGATTGTCCTCCAACCTATAAATGCATATAAAACATTGCACACACCCCAATAAATGTAATTTTAAAGAAAAAAATTGCCTCCCAGAATCCATTTAATCAAATTCATTCTCCTCTTAGCTGATTAAGTAAAGCTTCCTAAAACATTGAATATAGTCACGAACTTTGAGTTACTGGAAGTTGTCCCGTTCCCAGAGGGCAAGAGGGTACATGTCTTTCAGAATTAAGCCTCATCCCTACACGTGCAAACCCACCTCTATTTTCTACCACGCTTCCTGCATATGCTCTCTATTTTTTTAACTGACCTCCAAATAATGCAAGATCTCTCATGATGTTAAACTTCTATGTTTCTCTAACACTCTTGGGTCTGACTTTTCTTTCTTTCTTTCTTTCTTTCTTTCTTTCTTTCTTTCTTTCTTTCTTTCTTTCTTTCTTTCTTTCCTACAAAGGTGATGCCCCTTAGAATAATGCAGGTCATTTCTGATTCCTCCTGATGAGCTTCCCTTAAAGCACATGGATGTTCCTAGATTCAGGTTTCTGTACCAGGTAAAGACAATCACAGTGGTCATTACAAAGGGCCTTACAGAGGTCTCACTCATCTGTGGCCACATTCTGCACCAACTCCTTTCAGGGAAAGATTGGAATTTTTATTGCCTGCATGTTTTAGCAGTAGATCATGAGAAGGTTGAGTATTACTACAAAGATGTTAGTGAAGAAAAGCATACAGGAGTTTTCTTCTGCAAGGCTCATTTGTAGGTCTGTGAATACTCACCCCTGCCTTGATGTAGATGGGAACAAAAATCCATCCAAGAAGTAGCACCATAAACACACTCTGTAAGAAATCAAGGACAGAATGTAAAGTTAAAGAGGCATTGCTTGTGAGACAGAAACTATTGAGTAGAAAAACTGGAAAAAAACCCCCACCCATTTTATTAAATCTTGTCCCACTGAAACAGTTAAGGTCTTTAGACAACTGTCACTTCCTTTCCTCTGTGCTTATGACTGAGAAGCCAACACTTTCTGAGACATAGGATGTGACCCAAGACATGAGGTGAAAGATGATCAGACAACATGGCTGAGTGGGACATATACTTGGGCCTCTGGAAAAGCATAAAATTTTTTATCACAAAGTGTTGCCCTTGGATGGCAGGTGGTAAGCATGATATTCTTGAATGGATAAAGAAATCAGAAGGAAATTTCATGCTGTTTAAAGATTCTTGGTGCTGATCATATCTCTCCAGAGAAAACATTAGCAAAGACACAACCACTCATTAACATATGGTGCTTGCATGTTCTTGACAGGTTTTCCTTCAAAAACCAAATGAGGCAACTACTTTAAACAACTTTCCTTGTCTTTTAGAGGTGGAGACCACACCTCATAGAGATTAGGCAAGTACCATATCACAAGCTAAAGAAGGACAGCTGAGTTCTCTGCAGCCTGAGAGTTACACCCAAGAGGCCCATCTGAACATGAGTCCAGAGACAAGGTTTATGGCACTATCAGACTCAAAATCTGGCCAAAGGGCATATCTGGAGGCCAAGTGAATACTGGAGGCTCTCCTGCTACTAATGTAAAATTAAAAGAAATATGAAGCAAGGGAGGAGCATTTATGATGATTCTCAGTCATTCCTAAGTCCACCCAGGGATGGGATGGTCTGCCTAAACTTTGACCATGATCTGACTTTCTTCTACACTAGTGTCTTCCTCTCACCTCTTCACTATATGAAAACATTGTGGGAAAAGATAAGATCAAGTTTCTGTAGCAGGTGCCAAGTTCTCTCTATTATCTATGAGGGATGTGTTCCCAAAGGATCCCTCAGTGCACTATGGACAATTTTCTCCTGGTGTTTTCTGCACTACTGAGTTAATTTCTTTCTTCTATCAGACTATGAGCTCAAAAAGGGGAGCCATTACTTTTGCATTTCATATAGTTGATTTCTAGAAATATAGGGTCTAGGAAGGAAAGAGAAAATTGAGAGTTCATTTTATTGATGGAAAAATGAAAGTGGATTTCATAGAAAAGCCCTTAACAGCACTTACATTCCATTCTGTTGCTACAACAACGATTCCTGAAGCTGCTCCTGTCCCAGCCAAGCCCACAAAGTGGGTACTGCCAATGGTACTGGCAAAGAGAGAGGCTCCCATCTGAAACACAAGAGAAGGGAGTGTGGCTGAAGTTAAAAAATCCAAAGTAGAGTTATTGACAACAGAGATGATGTCATGTTTTACTCATTTCTTAGAACAGGATTCCACCAGCTGTTGCTCACGTTTTGAAATTGTGTGTGTGTGTGTGTGTGTGTGTGTGTGTGATTTTGGAGGAGTTCTTTTGTTTTATTGCACAAAATATAAAATATCTGAGTCAGAAGAACCCAGAAGTTTACATAGGGTGTATCACTGAATTTCAATGAAAAATACCTTCTGATAGCTTCCTTTAAGAAATGCCTTGAGGATTGGAAATGAGGCTCAGTGATTAAAGTGCTTTTGATTCAAAGGTAAGGGCCATTACTTAAGAACCAGAACATCTCAGAACCCAGTAAATCCAGACAGTTGTGTTAGCCACCTGCAATATCAGAACTCAAGGACAGAAACTGGGGCTTTCTGGATCATGCTGGGTCTAGCTAGAATTGGTGAGCTCCAGCCTCATGGAAAGACCTTAGAGGAGGAGAGTGACCCAGGAAAACACCAAATGTCAACTGTAGGCTCCCACATGAGGGTATACCCATACACTTGCACAAACTTCATACATGCATACACCCCCACACACGCATCCACGCACATACCCATGCCCCAGATATACACATGGTAAAACAGTTACCTTGCGTGCTGGGAGTGTGCTGGCACACGTGTGGAAACTTAGCAGTTGGAGGCTGAAGTAAGAGCCTCTGCTGTACTCTCAAACTCTAGTTCACAAAAACCAAAACAACCGGCCAGTGGCTCTGCCAACTGTGGCAGTGCCAGCCTGTGATTCCAGCACTGGACTTGTGGAGGCAGGAGAACTGAGGCTGAGGCCAGCCTAGGGTTAGTTTCAGAGACCTCATCTCAAGTTAAAAAAATAAATAAAGCAATACATCTTTTTTTTAAACTAAGAAAATCCACTCAAATATATATATATTTGCTTGACTAGTCCTGAAAACTTCATTAGTCCACAGACTGCTTGTTCTCATAGGATATGAATTTCTTTTCATACCAATTTAACATCTAACCTCAGCAATCTTATTTCTACTTAACTGATTTGCTTCCTCTTGTTTTAGGTTTTGTAGGGTGTATCGATCTCGAATTCATCCATTTCTTTTTAGATTTTTTTTCAGGTTGTGGAATCCCTATGTTTCTCTTGAATTGCCTAAGTGTTGTGGTAAGACTTGCTTATCTTTGTATGTGTGATCTGTTTTGGAGAAAGTCCCATGGGCTGCTGTTTGGTGGAATGTTCTGTAGAGCTTTCAGGTCCATTGAATTATGGTATCAATTAACTGTAGAGTTTCTCTGCTTAGTTTTTTCCAGTGACCTACCTATTGGTGAGGACGCATTGTATCCTGATACAGAAAAAAATCTAACCCCCATCTACACACCAGATTCAAAAATGCTACTTAAGGATTTTGAATGCCTAAATTGTTTTAAAACCCCAAGAATGATAATATTTGGAGCAAAATGAAAATAAATGTAATTTCTTTTCCAAAAACAGTTTTATTGAAACACAGCCAGGGTCACTGATTTAAAATATTGACTATGGCACCTCTTGTGCTAAAATGGCAGGATTATGTTATTGAAGATTATACAGCCTTGTAAACCCTAATATGCTTACAATCTTGCCTCCCAGAAAAGCTTATTGAACACTGCCTTGCGGGTACTTTGGTGTTTCTGCAAATATACTGCCAGTCCCTTAAAATTTTTTTTGTGACTTAAACCAATCTTAAGTAACTCAGACTCCAACCTCCCAGCTTAGGACATCCTTTTGGGTCACCTTTCTTTCTGTGCTGTTGTCTGCCACTCTTAAGCCTCAAATGCCAGGAGGCCAAACACTTTTTTTTTCAACAAAATTGGTGCTTGGGACCTTGCAGTGATTTATCTACTTCCATACTCTCGGTCCTCCACAGTTTACTTTTTCTATTCATCTTACTGGATAAAATTTAGCCACATTGCAACTTTGGTGTTGGCTAAGACTTACGCATTTGGAGAAGACAATGTCTGACTACATATCAAACACCAAAATCTATTTTGCACTTGCAGCAAGCAGTTGGTCGTTTCCCAGTCCCCATTCCCTTTCATACTATGTGAATCAGTCAGCAGGTTTTGATAAAGCCATTTTTTAAGGACCCATTACACACAAAATCTGACTCTAACACTTTCCGGGGGCAGAGAGGAAGATGCAGCCTTTTGCAATGGGAATCTAGCCAAAATAGATACACATTAAAACAGAGGAAAATTCCCCCCAAAAGCCTGGGTTGAAGAGGATGGTCATAAACATCACCACAGAGGCACCACATGCTTTCAGGGACTACATACAACATAAGAGTTAACCAGGAATACCTGGCAGAGCTATAATGCTCAGGGACTTACTTGGACCTTAAAAGAAAAGGAGAGTGGGACTAATCCAGACAAAGGGCAAAGTTAGCTCAGGGCTGGGACAAAAAGAGGACTGTGTAGAGCTTGTAAGAAGCCAAGGCAGACAATTCTTGATGATACTATTGTGGAAAGAATCTGAGTAAAGCTCAGCTGAGGACTCCTAAAGGCAAACCTGAACCTCTCAGTTGGTGACACTCCAATTTCTTTATTATAAACCACAATCATAAAGTAGAGGATTTCAGAAAGGAGCTACCAGCATATCATTAATAGTTAATTTTTCTTATGCAGAGAGAGAGAGAGAGGATGAGAGAGAGAGAAAAAATAAGTAGATGAAAAATGAATGAATTAGTTTATCTCCAGAAACCTCTGGCCCACTTACCGGCCACCAGGTCACATCTCGACCAGCCAGGAAGAAGCCCCCAACAGTGCCTCTGTTGCTTTTCACGATTGCCTGAGGAGGAAGGAAGAGGAGAGAGGGTGAAAGAGCAGCAGATGCATCACAGCCCTCTAGTCACACTGGACAGAATGCTGGCAGAAGTGAGTTCTCAGCACTCTTGCTGAGAGAGACACACTCTCTGGACACTGTTGCACGGACTGATTTTCAGTGGTGGTCAAGGACTAGGAGCATTTTTAAAAAGCAGCTGTCTACTGACAGTTGTGGAAATGATGTGAGATTTGCTGTGATGTGTTGGGTGAAAATCTGCAGCACAGAATTCAATATTAAAAATAACTAAAAGAACAAAATGTTGTAAGTGGCCAACCCACCAAGTCAGAAATTCAGACAGTAGAGGGAAATAAATAAAATGAGATAATACGGTTTTTTCCCCCTTTGCTAGGTGCTGGAGATCCAAACAGAGTAATCCTGCTGTTCTTGGTCCTCCTTCTATGCAAATAATTATGTTGCCTTAAAAATGAGCCTAATTGGCACTATCACATATCAAAAAATGTGATTTACACAGAAAGACAATGACATGAGTAATAATCTCTTGTCTCAGTTTATGGTGACACACTTCTTCCCCCCCCCCATGACACTGTACCCCAAGCCCACCCGAAAGCCCTTATGGTTTCCACGTACCCACAGCCCCACAGCTAGCACGACTAGGAAGTAGATGACAATGACGGAGATGTCAGCAGCATTTTGAATGCGCTGTGACAGTACAGGAGGCTCCTCAGTCGGGGCCATAGAGCTAGGACTTAGAGTGCTAGCCATGGCTTCAGGCGGTTCAGTCTGCTTCCAAGGATGAGTCCTATCTTTATGTAGACACTAAATTAATGATTAATCCTCAGCAAATGAAGCGAGACTTCAGGGATGACACATGGACCTTAAACCTCTCCTATGTGTGCAAGCTTTGGGACCTTGGCCCTTCAGCAGTCAATGTTCTTGGTAGTGTGTAAGAGGGAGTGATAAAAGTCAGAAATGGGGTACAAATAAGAAGTGATGAGCAGAACATTCACTGATGGAAAAGACAGCACATTCAAGACTGGACAGGTTCAGCTGCAGCTTAGGAAAAGAATAAGGGAGTCAAGTAGGGAAGAGGCAAAGAGATGACAGAGCAGAACAGAGAAAGAACTGAGAAAAGGCTCCTTATAAAACATATGATATTCTTTATGGCAAAAAAGGTTTCCAAGACCCTGTATTTCTCTGGGACTTACAATTTGAACAAAATTTATGTGATTGGTTAAGACCATTGGTGGTGTGGGATTCTGATCACAGAGATGGGATTCTAAGCCTCCTTCAGGGAACAGCTTTTATTTATGCTAGTACATTGGCCAGAGCCCATGCTCAAAAGGACCACAAGACAAGTATAATAGGGCTTTTTAAATGTGAGTTTTGCTACTTCATCGCCCATACATGATAACTTACAATTTCATTAGTTATTTTAAAACCTCAAGGTGTGATTCTAAAGATGGTCTGGATGTGGAGGAAGAAAGGCCTGTTGGGTAATCTAGCAAGGTCTCACGTGAGCATTCAGGCAGAGACTATGCTGTCGGGGTACATTGTGAGAAGGTGTGTCTCTGTATATTCGATTGTTGATTGCTAAGCTGTCAGAGAGCTAAGTGCTAGCCTGATATTCATATTGTTATTTTTATGTCCCATCACCAGTCTTATATTTTGTAAATATCCACACTTCCTCTCTCGTCTATTGGTTGTAATAAAGATCTGACAGCCAATATTTGGGCAGGAGGTGGAGGGCAGGACCCCCTGGAGAGAAAAGGGCCCTCGGGAAAGAAAACAAAGGCTGGAGTTTCAGAGGTAGACATGAGAGGGAACAGATGGACATGAACAAGAGCAGAGAGGTAATAGAGCTTGCCACAGGACGGGATGAGGTATCAAGATTAGTTCGGTTAAGCTAGAGAGCTGGCTGGGCGGCTGCCTTAGCTAAAAGGCCCAAGCTTTAAAATAGAAAGCCTCTGTGTCCATGGTTGGCACATTGGTCTCTGCAGGCCCCACTGGACCCAGATTGGTCTCTGTTGCTCTCCTTGTAGAGTTTCTGTCCCTCCCATATCTTTCTATCTCCCCTTCTTCCATAAGATTCCCACTCTGCCCAAAGTTTGGCTATGAGTCTTAGCATCTGCTTTGATATTCTGCTGGGTATATTCTTTCAGAAGCCCTCTGTGGTAGGCTTCTGTCCTGTTGCCTGTCTTCTCCCACTTCTGATGTCTATACTGTCTTTCCTTCTGAATGATGATTAAGCATGTTTCCTAGGGTCCACCTTGTTGTTTAGATTCTTTAGGACTATAGATTTTAGTATGTTTATCCTATATTAGATGGCTAATATCCACTTACATGTGAGTATATACCATATGTGTCCTTCTGCTTCTGGATTACCTCACTCAAGATGATCTTTTCAAGTTCCATCCATTTGCCTGCATGGAGAGGACCTAGACTTACTCAGCTCAGTTTCCATATGGGTATCCTAGTAAGGGGAGCAGAGGCTGGCTCTCATATGGACTCTTTGATCACCTCCCCCTGATGATCGGGGGGCAGCCTTGCTGGTCCACAGAGAAATAGGATGCAGCCAGTCCTGATGAGACCTGATAAGCTAGGGTCAGATATTAGGGGAGGAGGATCTCCCCTATCAGTGGACTAGGGGGTGGGCAGAGGGGGAGAAGAGGGAGGGAGTAAGGGTGTGGCTGGAAAGCGATAAGGGAGGGTGCTACAGCCGTTATACAAAGTGAATAAATTGTAATAAATAATAAATCAATTAAAAAAGAAAGCCCTTTTGTCATTATTTATATTGCTGGTGGGTCTGAGAGTCCCACTATACTAAGCCATGTGGCAATTATGTTTTCCTTCTTCCTGGGTCTTTGGAAAGGCTTACTAAACAAGGAAAGAAGATTTACAGAAAAGTTGTAATCAAATTTATGGACCTTGTTCAGTCAGTGTGGCTGCTTTCTGATTTTCTTTTCTTTGTTGTTTAAGAAGCCCCAGCACATTCCTTTGTTTGATGTCTGAAGACTATCATCCTGAATGTAGGGCCTTTTGTTTTCATAGCATCATAACATGGGTAGCTATTTTGTTTCAATCAAGGCCTCAATAAGGCTGGACACTGACCTCTAGACCAAGGGAATTATACAGTGACGTGTGGGTATTCCTGGCAACAGGCCATTAGGGCCCACAGCCTGGGGCAGCTTCCACAGACGTCACTATGGAAGTAGCCAGGCAGAATGTACAGGACCTGACTTTGGAGAGTCTGTCCAGAGACGAACATACATTGGTTAGCACGGAGATGGTGTGGAGGAAGCTGGTTGGTTGCCCAAAGCCATATAACCAGCTGTCTCTTCCTGAATAAATGTGTCTGCAGCCACTAGCCCTCCGTTTGCTTTCACCCGATTCCCAGTGTCCATATGGTGGCTGTACACTGCTCGCCCCCTTGGCCTGACCCCGTGCCCTCACCCATGAGGTGCACCTCGGGAGGAGGAGCGACAGTGAAGAATCAGATGAGTCCCTGATATTAAAAACATGACACTTTTGAGAATCTTGAATCTTTCAAAAGTTGAAAATCATCCTCCAAATAATGCAGCTGGGCTCTAGCCAATCCAAGTCTGAATGGAGGCATCAAAAACTTCTCAAATTTGGTCTATTGAGTGATGTTGGTCGTAGGTGTCATAGTAGAGAGAGGAGCTCACCAAGATGCCAAGCCTTCATTTTCCAGAAATACAAGAGGGGTTCAGCTTTCTTGGACAAGACTGACCTCTAGCTAGCTCACTTCAGTTTTTATTCACTCGTTACACAAGGTCAATTGGGGTTGGGAAAATTTTCAACTGCCAAATTATTATACCCTTGCTGCCTGGGAGAGCAGGCAACCCACACAAATCTCAGTCCCTTTGACCATGGCTAGCCATAATCAAAAGTAAGAACTTCAGGCTTGTCAGGAGTGTCTTAGGACAAAGGTTTGTACAACTGCAAGCTCTCACATAGCACCAAGTGCAGACTTTCCAGGAAGACACTTTTTCAAGGTTCAGACAGTTTCAAAACAATTTCCCAGCCTGTACTGATTAACACAAACAGCAAAGACTGTTGAAACAGTTCACTCAAGGCCAGACACAAAGGCTTTACTGTACATTTCACTTGAAGCCAGACATAATGGCTTCACAATACATATCACTACATTGGTCAGTGGCTTACTTTATAACCTTTTGTATCATTTGCAAACAGCTATTGCTCAAGTTTAATGTAAGGACATGCATGCATCAAAAGATGATATTGGTTGTCCCAGTTCATGATTTGGTCTGAGGAAAGGAGAATCCTCTCCTATGAGACCTCAGGTCCTCTATTCATTTTCAAAACGGTCTATTAGACTTGTATCTGTCTATCTGTCTGTCATTCTGTATGCATGTGTGTGTGGTTGAATATATATATTGAATATATGTGGTTGAATATACATTCAAAGCATATGTACATGTAAAACATACGTGTACGTATATAACACACACACATGTACATATATGCTTACACACATAGATAGCATATATATGTTGAGAGCACAAATGTCCTTGCGCTCACAGATAAGCACTAGGAAAACACACAAGATTTTCTCTTCAACGAGAGAGATGTAGAACCTGCTTTTCTACCTGGAAGGCTGGGAACAGAGGTAGTTAATAGCCTGGTGATTTATGCTGTCTGTAGGGCCAGGCCTTACCAAACTCCCATAAGCAGGACTGGAGATGGCTAATAGTCTAGATGACCTTTGTTTTATCTGCATGGCCAGGGGCTCTGCCAAGTTCCCACAACCAGCACAGGAAGTAGCCCAAATGACTTCTCTACTATCAGTGTGACTGAGACCACACCAGATACTCTCCTAGGTCCTAAAGATAATGAATGTAGCCTATCTCTAGAACCCATCTTTATGTAAGAAGTAACATGTATTTTGTGTTGGTATAATGTTCTTTTGAAATGTATATATCTTACCCTTGTTCATTCAAATGCTGATTCCCCCCACCCCCCTGCTACTCTGGGATCATCACAGGAAATTAACATGAAGCCTGGGAGCAAGGGAAACCTCTTTCCCTTTTTAAATAAGAGATCTAGTACCTTGTAGTTCTACATAGCTAATGAATTGACCCATGAACTAACAGTGGATCTAATTGTCTGCTCTTTACCTGCGAAGCTACCATTAGTTTAGCTTAGCCAACAACGTGATCAGGGACCTGAGAAGGATAAATAATAAGCTTAATAAATGTACCAATCTATGTACCAATCAAAATGACAGAGATGACTAGCCAGTCCACCACCTGTGCAGTTGTCCCCGGCTCCTGTGGTCTCATGGCATCATGAGCAGAGGCAGTCTGGCCATCAGGCACAGAAGATGAGAACTGTTTCTGTGGAAAAGAACATGAGAGCATCGAATCACCTTGCCTTCAGCACTGTGAAACAATGACTTTCCAGATGTCCACAGCTTTGTCCACAGTTTTTGTTGGGCCCTAACAGTGGGCCAGTTGAAGCAGTCTTGCCAGTGGTTAGCATACCATAATCCAGAGTCGAAGTCATCTATTGTTGTGCCCAAATCTTCTCAGAGACCTTGGGGAGCTACTGCCAGGATTTTGGGATTCTCTGTCATAATAAGCTTACACACATTAAAATGCCACATTCATCAAATCTCTGACAAGCCTGAGGGCCAGCATATCTGAGTTACTCTTTGTCTATTTTTTGTCATCAGCTCTAAATTGAATCTTGTAAAACAGAACGCTATAATCCTAATTCTGGCA